AGCCCTCAATCCATAACCCCAAAACCCGAAGCAATCAAACGCCAAGCCACCAAACCCTAATCCCCAAACCCAAAACCCCAAAACCCTAAACTCTACGCCCCAAACCCTAAACCCCAAATTCCAAACCCCAAACCCTAAAACCTCAATCCCACATCCCAAACCCAAAACCCTAAAGTCCAAGCGTCGTGGCCCTCGCGGACCAGGTTGTCACTAAGTGCTCTTCGCCAGTCGAAGCCGGAGAGGAGCCTCCAGTTCAATGTACAAGGCTTTCCTGAAAACTGTTGGTCTCTGCCCAGAAACAAACGTTTCCGGTAAACGTTAGCTGCTGCCAATGAGACAAACGTTTCCGGAAAAAATAACTTTTCCCAGAAACCTGAGCTTAGTGGGAAATTAACATTCGTCGTAAACCATAGTTTCCGCCCCCAATAAAGGTTGCTGGAAAAGGTTTGTTTCCCTCTAACAACACAAACCTTTTCCGGAAACTCTAGTTCGGTTCAAGAAACTAACTTTTCCCAGAAAGGTACATCTCTGACCAAATAGTAAACATTCGAAAGTTTTCCGGGAAACGTTTGTTTCTGGCTAACAAACAAACTCGCGTCCGCCCCTTGTGCTCCCAGAGGAGCTAGGGTTTAGGGTCTTTGGCAACCCTATTTAAACAATGAAGGCGTGCACGAGACTCCCCCGAACCGCGATCCGAAGTGCAGATACATTTTGGGTGATTCAGGGTTTAGGCTTGATACTGAGAATCCTATGCGGCCGTAAGTGCCTCGTAGCCTTGGAATGATAGCATTCTAGCAGGCTGAGGTCATGAGGAGAAGAGATTTCGTATCAACAGTCTGGGAACACATTCTGTATTAGCATGTCGCGATTTAGTTTCTGGCTGCCTTCTGATGATGACCCTGGATCCCAGAACTTCAAACCCTAAACCCTAAACCTTTTTCTGTAAACTCAAAACCCTAAGCTAAGCCCCATCCAGTATCAATTTACCCCCCATGTCAGTCCTTTCTTGAAGTCAAAGGCATAACCATATTCCTTAAGAAAGAGCCCCCCAATGTTCCCCTGATACCCTCCATAAATCCCCAGCCCCAAGTTTCGAGAATCCTCGAGCCCGATCCTTAACCCTACCCCCCAAACCCTACATGATAGTTTCCATTTTTCCATTATCCCAAAAATATAACCCCAATATATACCCCGTAATCCCTATATAACCAAACCCTAAACCCTAAACCCTATATAATCCCAAGAACACTGGGGGGGCAATCTATGGAGAATGACATCATTAGCAGGCTGAGCAGCTCGGCAAGAAGCTGACGAGGGTGCCTAAGATCCAAGGAAGGGATCTACTCCCCAAACCCCAAAAAACCCCAAACCCTAAACCCTAAACCCAAAACCCTAAACCCTAAGCCCTAACACAGAAAAAGGGCCCTGCCCACTAGGGTTTCAGGCTCTGGTGGTTACAACCTTCAACTTCCTGGTTCGTAGTGGGGAAGTAAGGAATGGATCATAAGGGTCATTAAAGGGATTAGGATACCCTACAAGACAGCAGTCCATGATGTGCAACATCACGCTTCTAGTAATTAGCTGATGTTCATAACTAAGGTGGGGGGGGGGGCTTCAGTATCAGGGCCAAGGGATGACACGTTATCTTATGGCCTAAGCTTGAGCTTAGGGTCGCGGTTAAGGGTTTAGGGCTTAGGGCTTGGGGTCAAAGATTCAGGGTGTAAGGTTGAGGGATTTAGGCCCTGGGGTTCTAGGTGGGCTTGAGGTAGGGGAATACCTACACGCTGAAGGCTTGGAGGCTCTTTGAACCTTACACCTTAGGTTTCCATGTGAATGATTTGCTGTGATCTTCCACAGAAAGCTCCCCGTATTAGGATAAAACCAACAAATAAATGACAATCTCACCATATTATGTATGTATATAAAGTTATGTATGCAAACCTACATCCTATACATAGACATAAATAAAGTTCTCCGTACATTTTATAAAGTTATGTATATATACCTAAATCCAATATATGTATCTATAAAAATACATATATAACTTCGAGTCTACCCCAGCTCAGCCAGAATGAAGCATTGAAGCTCTGAGACTTGGTAGTGTCAACCTAAGTCGTGATTCTGGGCCTGGAAAACAAGCTCTCAATACCACAGCAGCAACTGATCAGCCCAGACTCCCAACACCCTAAACCCTACCCTCTCCGAAACTAACATGGAAACTCAAAAGGGGCCCTACAAAGACTACAGTCCCTTTAAAGGGGTGCTATCTGGGTTTCCATGTTAGTTTGGGGGTGTGTAAACTCTGTAAAGCATGGGCCCTTAGACTGCCTTAGAAACGGTTTAGGGGTGTAGGGCTTAGACGCTGAAGTCCTCCCTGAACCTCGCTCTTCTGACTGGCTGTAGAGGTACAACAGCGCTGTGGAACCCTCCTGCGACATGGAACAGGTTGGGAGCCTTGACCTCCAAAACCAGGTTTAGGGTATAGGGTTATGAAGGTCAGCTGAAAAACAAATGCAAAAACATCGTGGCAGCAAAGCTGAATATCCGTGGGCAGTGTGAGTCTTCAGGACGTGTGCAATCTGAATTTCCTCAAAATCTGCCATGCCCAAAGTCCTAAACAAGAACCCTTGACCCGAAAAAAACGAAACTCAAAGGAAAAAGACTCAAGCAAGAAACCTCAACCCTGCCAGCATCTCGGAAGGTCCTTCTCGCGAGCCTTCTCGAGCACCTGCAAACAGGCATTCAGGCAACCCCCTCATTAGAGGCAGTCTGAAAGGAGCCAAAGACATCTCTAGCGTGGATTTTACTGTTTCGTTCTACTCCTAAACAGAAGACAAACTCCATTTACACTCGCAAGCCCTAAGGTCAAAAAAATCCTCACGGTGACGTACTAGGCTCCTGAGTAGTCCCCCCAAACCGACATGAGCCATTGTCTAAACTCCTAGTATCCCCCTTCATAACCCCTATAATATGCCCCTATATAATCCCCCATATAACCCCACTTTAAGGAGTTTAGACTATAGCTCATATGGAACCTCAAAGAGCCTCTGTTGCTGATGCTTGTCTTCTGGGACCCTTTTTGGTGCTCCATGCTAGTTCAGGTAGGGTAATGATGGCCGTGCCTTCTTGTCCATCTCAGCCATGACCTTCCGCAGCCTTTGAAGTCGGTCGTCGGCCTTGTCGGCAATTTTATCCTCCAGGTCCAACCTAAAGCATCGAAATGGAAAAGAAAATGGGAACTACCATAGTATATAGAATAGGGTGTGGTGTTTGAGGGTTTAGGGCGTTTTGAGCTGCAGAGATTTGAGGTGCACTCCTTTAAGCCCTAGGGTTTAGGGTTTAGGGTTTGGAATTTCGTACCAGCTCTATTTCAGTGGGCGCTACTCTTGAGGGACCCCTCTACGGGTTCCGCGTTTGTTTTTTTCCCGAGCTGGAATGTGCCACACCAACCACGCCCCTAGCAGTTGGAAGGTGAGGGTTCAGGGTTTTGAGGGTTTGGGCTGTAGAGTTTGGGGTTTAGTGTCCGGAGGAGCCTGCAGAAAAGACTGGGAAAAGCTGGGAATCCAAAATCGAAGCACGAAGCCCCTGCATGCTTAGATGTTCAACACTTCAAGCGCAGTAACCGCAGCAACATCCCTGAAACAGTTCAGAAACCTTCGAAATGAAGTGTCTGAAGCCCCCAAACCCTGAAGTCCCTAAACCTGTCCACACACCCGCAGGGTTTAAGGTTGAGGTTTGGGTAATATTGCAGATTATAACCTTGCACTCCTTCTTGTCATCTATGACTATGCAACTTAAAAAATTCATTAACAGTGACTAAGAAGACCCCTCAAACAATACTGTCCCAAACCATACTAACGTGTAGTCTACCACACCACACTCTACTGAACTGTGCTGTACGGCATTATACTGTATGAAACAACACCATGATATTGTGTAATATGTATCCCCCTTACTAACCCCTATGATCCTCCCGTATGCAATCCCTAAATAAAACCCTTTAAGGAACTTAGACTCTAGCTCATATCGTGTTACATTCGGTGACATTATTCTCTGAGGTCGGGAGCCCAGTAGCTCGATCTCAAAGTCCACCGAGGCGGCTACCACAGCACCGGATTTGTCTCGTTCCGGGGAGGACCTGAACCCTTTCAAGTCCTAAACCTTGAACCCTAAACTAAAGGGACTTTAATGGGAACCCCAAAAAGGGAACCCCAAGAATATAGGAATATAATAGAATATAAGGACCCTGGTAAGTATATTCCTATTATATTCCTACTTTATTCCTGGGGTTCCCGTTTTGGGGTTCCCGTTAAAGTCCCTTTATAAACTTTTGTGGGCATGGGATGCAGAGTTTAGAATGAAGGTGCGATAGTATTTCGGATCCTAGGAAATGGGGTTTGGGTTTAGGGCTTCTTGGTCCAAGCTTACCCGTGGGTCCTTCAGCTTCAGCTTGGCTTAAAGCCTTTACAGGTGCAATACTAAGCAATGCCCCTGACTCGTAGGTGCTTGTAAGGCAAGAGTTTTAAGTGCAGGTTAAGCCTAAACCCCAAACCCTACGCCAGGTTGGGGAGCTAAGAACTTTTCATGGGGAGGTGCGCTTTGAGTTTCTCATTGCCAATTGCTATACAGACCCGTTTTGTTATTTGCAGCTTTATACGGGGTTTTCGCAGAACACTGACTGAGTCTATGTGGTACATCCAAACCTTAAAGGCCGAAGCCCTCTTTGTCATTCCATCTGCGGGCCAGAAAACCTGATTCTGAAAGCCATGGATTGCATGTCCCACCTTGCTTTGTATCTCAAGAGCTGAAAAAGTTCCAAGCTTTCAGCCCTGATCGCCTGTCTAGTAGCGGGAGACGTGACACAATGGCACAGCTACCAGAGGCAAATCCCACATGAGCCATAGCCTAAACTCCTAGCATCCTCCTTCATAACCCCTTTAGTGGTCCCCCTAAAACCTAAATCCCTAAACACTGAAAACCCACATCTGCGAGGCCCGCACGTCAAGGAGAACTGTATCCTACCCTTCAGGAACGCCTGCAGCTTCGCGTCTGCCTGTGGGCTTAACAACCACACACTGCGTGTATTTCTAAACGAGGGCCTGCACACAAGGCTTGGAAGACAAATGTAGAATTTTGGGTCCGGAGCTTGCTCTTGGTTTCCGACGTAACCCTGCTGAAAATTCAGCACGAGGGGGACCACTGCGTGACCTGGATAGGGGAACAGACACATCTTGTCATGCAAGCACGACACAGGTCCTCGAAATAGATACCAGCCCTCCGACTCCAGATGCCACCCAAAATCAAGCCAGAACACATTGCAATCTGCACGCTCTCTCCCTCTCTCAAAAAAAGCCAAACTCCGTTCTGCTGCAGCAAGTGCGATGGCCTTTCTTGTCAGGACCACACAGTGTGACAGAAGACTCTGCATCCCTTTGTAAGCCCCATGTTTCCAGAACTCAAGAGCGACAACTCCAAAAGCTTCAGCAACAAAAAATCTCTTCGTCCCCCGATGTTCCCCGGACAAAACTTTCCGCCAAACAAACCGAGGCTTCAAACAACCCCTCAACCCCACCCATGACAGGATAGCTTCTCAAAGCGAAATCCTCCCATGTTTCCCTAGGCTGCCTACACTTGCCCCCACTTTGAAAGGGCAGGAACCTCAAAGCTAAATTAAGCTACCCCTCTTTGGCCTCTCCGGCGCGTAGGGTACCGGTGAATTCCGCCTAAGTAACCAAATGTTACAGTTCAAGGTTTAAGGCTTCAGGGCTGGGGTCTAGGGTTCGAACCGTTCGGAAGTTGAAGTTGAAGTTGAGTGTCTGGGTTCACGGGTCATGGCCAAAACTCACAGGTCAGAATACAGATGCTGGGAAATGCGCCCCAAAAGACACCACTCATCAAGCCAAGGAGTGGAGGGCTCAAAGGAAAACGCGGTCATGCGCAGCGAAACCACGCTAAACCCCGGAACCCACAGAAAGACAACAGAACACCTGAAACCCAGCAGAAAGAGCAACCCGCGGAAGCAAGAGTCAGCAGCTGCAACCGCGCACAAAGTGTCGGTTGGCAAAGCAAAGATCAAACTTCCAAACCCCAAACCCTAAATCCAATAAACCCAGTAAACCCAATAAACCCAATGAATCCAATGAACCCGAAACAGAATGGAAGAACCGGAACCCAGAGCCAGTCTTGTACCCAGCTCAAGGCCGGACCAACCAACCTAAGGGACCCCCAAGAACCAGGCACTCAAAACTGCCAGGGGAACCTGAAAGGGTCGAAGCCAAGAAGTTGCCAGAAAGAAGGGTTTAGGGTTGAGGGTTTAGGGTTGAGGGAATAGGAATTTCGGGATTTCGGGATTTAGGGTTTAAGGAGAAGCAGAACGAGAACAAACTAGCGATGGGACAAATGGCCCCACCAAAGATTGTTTGGATCATGTTGGCAACATCAGGCTGTCTCTCAACCTCAGGGGCCCCTGCCTGGAGAGACCCCAAACCATCTCATCCACCAAAAAATGCGCTGCAGGATCAATGATTGAGAGGAACTTGGCCAAAACTTGTTTTGGGTACCTACTATCCCTATATATAACCCCTATAATCCCTGGAGTTTCCATTTTCTTTTCCATTATCCCTATATAACCCCAACATATACCCCATTATTCTATAGTAGTTTCCNNCCCCCCTGATACATATCCCAGCAGCCCTGCAAAGCGCATCCACCACGCGCGCAGCACGGTGGATGAGCAAGGCATCCTCTCTGCACACGAATTCAGTGGAACAGAAAGTGGAACTACTGTATTCCCTTGGTGATATATAGAGACAATGGAAAGAAAATGGAAGCTACTATTTAGGGTTTAAGGTTCTGTTAGAATAGGGTTTTGGCGCATGCTATACCATAGCCATAGTTGTATAAGGATTGTGAGGAGACAATACTGGTGATTTTTTGGGGCTTCTACATTGCCTGCACAGCTGCAAGGACTTTAGACTTTCGGTGCTACCCGAATCTTCACAACTTTCTGTCAGCGCCGGAATGACGGAGGCTTCGGGGGTATATCAGAAGGACATGGGAGATGAAGGAAACACATTGGTAATTATTGGGGCTTCGAAGTTGTCGGCAAACCCTCGATGCTGAACTCTCTGTGAAAAGCCGTCCGGTCCTGGCAGCTAAGTGGTAAGAGAAGGACATACGTCTGCCATGCAACTTGTAATTTGTCAAAACCTCTATATCATCCTGGACAGCTCGTGTTCAAGTAGCTCACAATTCAAAGGCGGAGTATGTGGCCATCTGTTTTACGCTGAACCCCAGACCTTCATCAGAAGTTCAGCATGCGTGATCCTGAAACTTGAAGTGATACAGTACATTTTCAGCCCCAGAACCCTTCAAAGGAATGGGAAGTTCTGACGATAAGCCCGCACATACCTGAGTAGCTTTGTTTTTGGTGGTTGAACCTGGTAAGATTATATTCCTTATATAAAATACTATATCCCAAAGGGAGGATAGAATCTCACTCTATTTTGGGTACCATCGTACTTCCAAATAAAATACTACTCACCTGAAGGGCAACACATCCTGAGGGGTGGAAAACCCAAAACGCTCCTTGTTGCGGTCTCGACCCTCCGCACCCTCCAGCCTCTTCCCAGAGCCTCAGAATCAGGGCTCCGGGCTTATGGTTCAAAGCCTTGATATCAGCGCCTGTGGTTCCTTCCAGGCACATTTGAGAAAAGTATGATATGATATACTTCCACGAGAAAATGCCGAAGGACATCAGTGCTTGGCTTCTTCCCGAAACCTCAACTCGATAAGACTGCTTGGCTGCAAGTGGCATAGGCTCTGCTTAGATTCTATCCTTGGGATCTCCAAAATGGTTGTTTCTTTTTTGAGAGTCCGTGGAAAAAATGTTATGGGACAGCAGGGGGACCCCTTCTTGGGGAAATACTGATTTCAACATCAATTCTCATGGATCCCAAATTGGCTGCAAAGGCTCCAGAAAAAACCAACGATTTTGCAAAACTTGAAAGTTGGGGGTCTCCAAAACATGTAGGTCACGCTTTGGGGGCTCCCCATATTCTGGATTGCACAGCATGTTGGGTAGACTAGAAAGCTCTGTGCTTGATGCTCCCCGTCTACAAGACATGACCATGATCACTCGATCATGGAGAAACATTTATCATTTTAGTTCGCGTTCGCGGTCCTTGCGCATGCAACATAAGCACCCACGGTGCATCAACATTCCTGTCTAGGCCATAGCATGCCTCCTTAGAAGCTCAGATCCTGAAATTGCCTCAACCTTCACCCCCACCCTGACGTCTAAATCGTTCGGTCAGCCCCTGTCCCCGAAACCTAAACAGACGCTCCACCGCTTGTCACTCATATCACAGTAGTATCATTTTTGTTGCTATTCTCTATTACTGTTATTACTGCTACTACAATTATCATTACGACCCTTCAAACTGAGCAGTCGGCGGTATGCCACATAGTCCTGGACTCCATCCTCCTGGAAGACAAAATGAAGGTTTTCCCAAAGTTCAGGGGACCTTGAAACCCGAAACCCCAAACCCTAAACCCTAAACCCTCATAGGGGTAATATAGGGGTCAACCCTAAACCCTAAACCCTAAACCCTGATTAAGGTTTCGGGGTGTCCCAAAGCCAGGCAGATTTGTTGTGTTCCTTTCGCTTTTCTGTCAGGCTTTGGGGCTCTAGTTGGGGGAGCTGAAGAGGGCTTCGACCCTAAGCCCTAAACCCTAAACCCCTAAACAGTAAACCCCTGAACCCCTAAATCCTAAACCCGAAACCCCTATGCCCTTTAGGGTTTGCGGTTTAGGTGGGGTTGCCACATTCAGCTTCTGGCTGGAGATGGCATAGTCCCCCTTAAGTAGATAGAATATGGCTTTGGGTATGTTATAATCCCTTATTTAAGGCGGAGTATAGCCTTGGGTATATTATGATCCCCATATACCCCACATTCTATCTACTTAAGGGGGACTATTGACTATAGGTCCAAGGGGAACGATTGACTATAGGTCCTGAAAGAACTGCGAGATGAACTTGATCTCCGATCCTGGGCAGAAGCCACCACTACGGTTGATGCACAAATTCATTGAGGACCTTAAGTATACTATCATAGCATGATTCCTTCGGCTCAGGTATATGGGGTCATGCAGGATTTTGTCAATCAAGGCTCAACTCCAAAGCACATCGATACTGGAAACCACTAGATTCGTGGAAATGATCCTCGACACACTCACCAATGGCAGATCTCTGCTTTTTTTGAAAGGGGGTCCTGACCTAAACCCTAAGCCCTAAACCCTAAACCCTAAACCCTGCAGGTACAATTTCCAAGAGGAAGCTTGCCAAGACGTGGGTCAAAGACCTACCATGAACCCTACTTGGTGGGTTATGTTCTAATAATGGAAAAGAAAATGGAAGCTACTATAATGGAGAATCAAATGGAAAAGCAAATGGAAAATGAAATGGAAACTGAGATTATATAATTAAGTTCTTACTTATTATAGGGTTATATTGGGGATATTTAGGGGTTATATATAGCAATAATGGAAAAGAAAATGGAAGCTACTATAGTATTTAGGGTTTAGGGTTTAGGGTCATGGGGACTTAGTAAGTAGGTTAAGAACCCCCTATAAGCCATATAGTAACCCCAATTCTCCCTATTATTAACCTACTTACCAAGTCCCCGCGACCCTCCAAGTAGATCCCCGAAAATGCTTGCTTGAGCAGAAGTAAGGTTATGCAAGGGCTGTTTGAAGACAACGTGAAGCCAACCCGTAGGAAACCGACCCTCGATTTTAGGGTTTAGGGTTTTGGGTTTTGGGTTTTGGAATCCTGGCAAAAGATCCCGAGTACGCACACTGCTTAGCTAGTTATACTGGTCAACTGTCCCTTGCGGCCGGTACTGCTTCATGACCCCCTGGGATAATGGAAAAGAAAATGGAAACTACTATTATATGAAAAAGGGCTACATTGGGATAATGGAAAAGACCATGGAAACCTGTATATAGGGATTATAGGGTGTATATATATATATATGTAGAGGATTTTAATCAATGATCTTGCCGGCGCCCACAAGATCTTTCAAGGCCAGGACACGCACGAAGTCTAGCAGCCTGTCCTGCAGTCCAAGACAAAGGCTCAGAGTTTCCAACCTTTGGACCTAGGGCCTCTGGGGGGTTTAGGGTTTATGTAGGGGTTATATGGGATAATATAGGAATAACAGGAAAAGCAAGTGGAAGCTACTATTTAGGGCCTATTTAGGGTTTAGGGTTCACCAAAACTCAGCATCTAGGGCTAGAGCTTCTGCGAACATAGTAGAGTTTGAGGCTTTAGGGATCATGATCGGCTGCGGGATCTGGGCATCGTTTCTTACTGTGACCTGCGAGAAAATAAAGATCGAAGACAAGCTTTGGTCAGGGATATCTGTCGGGCTCAAGATTTGCTTCCTGAGGGTGGTTCTTGCCTACAAATACATCCACATGTACATATACCACAAAGAAAACACAGTTGTGAAACTAGGGGAACTCAAACTACCACTACCTTGTAACTACAGGCACCGTCTTCTGCGCCATCTGATGGCGACACATCTTCGTGAGTGGCTGGCTGGAAGTGGTTTGGGCTTCCAGGGTGGAAGGTTCTCTGCTCTACAGCCTGTGCAGTGACTGCTTATGCGTTAGGGTTTAGGGATTAAGGCTATACAGAAAATGAGGGCCAAAAACAAGAACCTGAGCCATTCAGGCTAGAACCCTTGTATGAGAAAATGGTGATGTCTCAGACCAATGTTCCAGAAAAGTGGTCCGTCTCCAGAACTCTCCACAACCCGCAAAAACAGAATCCTCAAGACAGGTTTAGTCCCAAACACCAAAATCAGGCGTCTCTTGTTGGGGGGGGTCCCCAGAACAAGGATTAGATCATTTTGGAGGCTATATTGGCGTTTGCTATTTTGGGAAGAAGCTACCATGTTTGTATGACAGCGTGAGATTCTGATGAGATGCCATCGAACCATATGGGACTGGTAGCCTCAAGCTGTATTTCCAACCCTGACTGCCCCTAACCCCCTAGGACCCTAGTGCGCGAACCTAAAACCCCTTAAACCCTTTGCCTTAGCCCCTAAACCTTAAGCCCGACAACCCTGCACCCAGCAAGCCCTTCTCACTTACTTCGGGGTCAAAGGGGACTTTGTAAGTACAGGTACTAGAGCCCTAAACCTTCAACCCTACAACCCTAAACCCCAAAAAACCTTCTCCCAAAGCCCGAATCCCTACATCCTAAACCCTAAATCCTAAAGCCTAAAGCCTAAACCTTTAATCCTAAACCCTACACCTTTCATCCCTTTGAAACATCCTAAACAACGCCTCGAGCTCCAGCGTGGCCCAACCTGGGGCCACATGCTGCTCCAGGCGGATCTTCACCACCTGGTTTGTGGTTTAGGATTTGGGGTTTTTGGTTTCGGGTTTGGGGTTTAGGGTTTGTGGTTTAGGGTATACGGTTTGGGGTTTAGGGCTTAGGGTTTGGGGCTTAGGGTTTGGGGTTTAGGATTTGGCGTTTGGGGTGTAGAGTTCGTGGTTTAGGATTTAGGGCTTTGGGTTGAGGGTTCCAACCATTGGGCTTCTTGAGGCTGAGGGCTTTCAGATTGCAAGCGTCTAGGAGTCAGGTTAAAACGAGTCTGCTTTAGTCCTTCACTTCTTCAACATGAGCAGTGAAAGGCGGAGAGCATCTTTGTCAAAGCGTCGTCCTGCGCACTGCACCGATGCGCCACTATGGCCTCTAGCTGAGGAAGCCTACTATACACAGCACTGCTCTTAACACTGCAGGGTGGCAGCAGTCTAAAAGGCTACTAGTCCATGAAATTCCCCAAGCTCTGCACGGAACGGTTCCAACACCTGCAACCCTTGCCAAGATCACATTCCTTTCCAGGCAATGGACGCAAGACCCCGAGTTTTCGGCATTTTCAGCCTGACCTAGATTCCTAGATCTCCAAAAATACCCATCAAGGCGGTCTTTCCCGCCGAGGAAAAAGGATGTTTACTTTGGAGAGTTCGGAGAGCCAGAGGACCCCCAAAAATTCGATGGTCCCCCTTAAGTAGGTAGAATATGGGGTATATGAGGATCTTATTATAATATACCCGAAGCCATATTCTATCTACTTAAGGGGGACTATACCCCCAAAACAAGCTCCCCTTGCCAACAACCCGCCCAGCCTCGCCATCATCTCCTGCCCCTTCCTGACAAGGGTACTTGGAGGGTCATGGGGGCTTAGTAAGTAGGTTAATAATGGGGACAATTGGGGTTATTATATGGCTTATAGGGGTTATTAACCTACTTACTAAGTCCCCATGACCCTCCAAGTATCGTTCATAATCCGATTGATGGACTCATTCCTCCATGACTTTCGGTATTCCATACTACCATATCTCCCAGGGCATTACATAGGCATACATGCTATAGACTACACTCCTAGTATCCCCCTAATCCCTATAATACTCCCTTATATCATCCGCTATATCACCCCGTTCAAGGAGTGTGGACCCTAAACCCTAAACCCTGTATTGTATAATCCCCTACAACCCCCCTTTTCAAAGGGGTTTAGATTACATCTCATATAGGCATATGTGGTCATTAAGGATGTCTTTCATCAACAGTAGATCCCACCTTAGATGCCCCAAAACAATATGATCCGTCATTTTTCTGGAGAAACCCCAGGAGAGAACGTGAAAGACATGGGGTTTAGGGTTTAGGGCTACCCTAAACCCTAAACCCTAAACCCTGTTCAAGCAACTCTTCAGGCTGAAGATCCACGCTTGAAGATTTGGGTCTAAGGCTTTTGGACCTAGATTTAAGGCCCTAAACCCTAAACCCTGTGAATGAGGTTCCGGGCATAGGGCTCTTAGCTTGGGCTTCGGGATCAATGTGATGGAGTGCCTTCAGTTCAAGGTACTTGTGATGTAGGAGCCTAAATGACCAGGATCGGGTTTTGGGGCATGAACAATATTGGCAATGTTCAGATCGTTTCCAACTTCCTGGGCCTAACGCTGAAATGTTGTCGGCGATAAAGTAACACAAGCTAATCGTTCAGATCGACATGATCATTTGATGGACGAACTGAGATAAGAAGTTGTGCGGCCGGAGTATCTGACGGCTATGTGCCGCTACTAAGCGGCTTTGAGTTGTTACTGCCTCCGGTGTTGTTACTTCGCAGTCTGGCTCAGGCTTCCACAGTACCTGCCACAATCAGGAAGCCAAAAGACAGCAAGACCCGTGGTTATCAAGATGATCTATGACCTATGCAGACCTGCCTACATTCTGGAAGGTTCGCCGCAGCTTCATGAAAGAGCGTGCCCATCGGCGTGAATTTGAAACCAGCCACTCAGCCATTCAAGCCCTACCCCAGCCACTCAACCACTCAAGCCTTAAACTAGACACTCAGCCATTCAGCCACTCAAGGGGTAGGGTTAAGTCTTGAGCGCCGGAATGGCTGTGGCAAGTCTTGGGAGGCTGAGTGGCTGAGTGGCTGATGTCAACTTTGTTTCCGCGTGGGAAACCTCAATCGCTTTTCGGGTTTCAGAGTTTGCTCCTTCAGGTTTGCCGTTTGGGCAAACAGACACAGAGAGGGAGAGAGAGATCGAGAAAGAGAGAAAGAGAGAGGCTGATAGACACAGAGAGCAAGAGATGGCCCGATACAGACATCCCGAAACCCACAATGGTATTTGGTAGTTTCCCCAAAAAATGTGACCCCAATATACAAACCCCAAATACTCTTATCCTTATTATTGGGACCCCCACAAAGGTACCCCTAATCTTGGGAAACCCTAATCCCAAAACCCTATATTCCCCTAATATCCCTATATAACCCCCTTTTAACCCCCGGAGGGCTGAGATGCAAAAAGCTTGTCATATCTTGCTGCAGCTTTAAAGCCCATTCCGCCCTGAAGGCCCATTCCTGATGGATGAGACATGGAAATCCTCTGATAGCCTCTCAGGAATGCTGATCCCTTGAACCTGAGCTTTGTGGAGTATACCATAGTATACTATAACAAACTAGAAAAACTACAACATACCATAATATACCCTAGTATACTATAATATGCTATAAGAGGCTGATGAGCCCTTGAATCTGGGCTGTAAGCCCGACCCCTTTTCCGCTTACAACCTACACAATGTGGACCTTGTCCACCTCGCAAAAGACGCTTCCCTTGCTCGGCACGCCCACCACCGACTCACCGCAGCACTTGCAAATCCTGACACAAGGTAAATTCGGGTTTTGATTGTTCGTTGCTTTTTTGGAGCTCAGTTTTAGGTTCAGCGCCTGGGAATATCCGTAATCCGTTCATGCACTTGGCTACTTCAAGGGTGGCACTGTTACTCCGTCTGTGTGCCTGCGCCTGCCATGTCATCACTTCTACAATCTACATTCAAGATTAAGATGTCATAGGTTTGCCTAGCATGAGTCCTGATGCTACCAATGCTCAGTGAGACTGACACTCACACTTATATGAGGCCCTTTGAACCCTGAATAGTAGTTTCCATTTTCTTTTCCACTCTCCCTAAATAACCCCAATATAACCCTAATATACCCCATTATAGTAGTTTCCATTCTCTTTTCCAGCTACTCTAGAGGAGATCTTGAGGCGAGCAAGCCACCACACCTTGCGCTGCTTCCGTCCCAAGAAGGACTTATAGCCACCCAAACCTAATATGTCCCTAGCGTCTAGTGGCCCGCAGGTCAACTCTAACTTCCAATTCCTAAATCGTAAACTTTAGACTCTAAAGCCTAAATTCTAAACTGGAAACACCAAGCCCTAAACCCTGGAACTAGGCTCTATTAAGCCTGAAACTCTCCACTCCAAAACCTAAACATCCCTAAACTCTAGACTCTAAACCAGCAACCCTAGAACCCTCAACCCTAAGCCTCAAGTCCCTAACTCTGGACTCTGGACCCCAAACACTGAACTCTAAGAATCAGTTGGGAGTCTGCTCCGTGCTCGTTGTCCCCCGGCCGGTGACCCAGTGATGCCCGCAACTCTTGCCTGTACCTCAGGTGTTGGGAGGTGTTGGGGTTCAGGGTTTAGGGTTTAGGGCAAGGCGTGCTCGGAATTATGCAGGAATGTGTTGGGGTTGCATGGCAGCTTCCCTAAACAGGGGCGATCCCAACATGGACCCAAAACCTTATAACCCTTATTAAAGGGACTCGCAAGAGGGTATTTTGTGAAACTACCGCCGTAGAAGGTTTAGGCATATGTAGGGGGTCTTTCCGAGGTTAAGGGTATATGAGCTATAGTCTAAACCCCTAGTATCCCCCTTTGTAATGGAGAACCAAATGGAAAAGAAAATGGAGAATGAAATGGAAGCTGGGATTATATAAGGGATCATGGGGGTTATACTGTTATACTCTAAACTTCTAGTATCCCCCTTCATAAGCCCTATAATCCTCCCCTATATAAGCCCATATATAACCCCTTTAAGGATTTGTTGCTACAGCTCATGTAGGATAACCCACTTGCATTGAAAGCCTCAAGCTTCAGGGTTTGGAGTTGATAGCTTCGGGCTTGACTCCTGCCTAAAAGAATTGAAATATGGCGTTTTCCAAAAAAAGGGACGCCAATATAGACGCCAAAATACGATCGTCCTCATTATAAGGACCCCCCAAAAGGGTACGCTAAGATGACACCGCATGAGACAAGATTCCTCGAGTCGGTACGTGTGTCGAGGGTTGCTAAGCTTCCTTCAAACTCAAATCCTTGTGAGCCATGGTCTTAACTCCTAGTATCCCCCTTACTAACCCATATAATACTCCCTTATATAATCCCCTATATATGACTGCGTAAGCTCCAAGACTGAGTCTGCTCGTCTATTTACAACCGGGCCGGGGCAAAACCGCGTGTGGGACAAAAAAAACCGGCCCAGTGGTCTCCACCGACGCCACCGCGAGTCTCAAGTAAGGGAACAAAGACCCGAACCAGCAAAGAACCCAGAGCCCGAACCCCAAACCCCGAACCCAACAGAACAGAAGAGGACCCCCTATATATCCTCCTTTAAGGAGTTTGTGCTGGAGCAGGGCCGTCTAAACAGTGCCAGGATTGAGGGAGTGCACAGTTCGGGCCAATGCTCTGCATTGGCCGCAGCAGGTCTCTCAGCATGTCACTGAGCTGCACACCTTCTAAGAATTCTACATCTTGAGCCCGCAAGCCTAGTCCTCAGCCCAAAAGCCCAAAGGTCACCCTGAATGCCAAATCTGGAAGCCGCGGCCGAAACTGAAAGTAAAAATGGCGAGCATCAGTGAAATGCCAAAAGCTCGGATGTCTGTTCCTGCCGAGCTGACAAGGTCTTGAGGCTTGTTCCGGTGTCCTGTTTACGGCCTGTGGTCTGTGATGGGGGTTGCTCAAAAAGAGTGGGACCTTGGGGACCCTTAGGATATAACGGGATTTAAAGAGGGATTTCACAGGTACCATGGAAGTCACTACTCCCGTAGTTAGTTTCTCAAAATGTTGGTCCAGTTATGCGGTTCCAAATCATGTACATTGTTCTCTCGCGCCCTTTGGCCTTTGGGAGCCGTTTGGTGCTTCATGAAGACAGCAACGTATGCAATGAGTGCAATGTTCAGTCCCAACTCAAGTTGCTTTTCTGCAAGTATACTATAGACTCTAACTGGCTTACAACTGCTATATAAAGTTTCGTTTACCAGTACTACATTGGCACCTATCTACTTCGTGCTGCAAGTCAAGGGATAGTTAACGTTATCTTCTAAAGCATGTTGAGGGTCTCCCAAGTTGTGTTCATTCTAACGCCACTGCTCGACGGCTTCTTTGTTGTTCCACGATCATGCCCTGCGTGGAGTAAGTTGGGTGTGAGACTTCTTTCAAGTCCATGCCACATGCTCCTGCCAGCAAAGCCCATACCCCAAAGTACAGTATGAAGTATAAAATCCCAAGCCTGCGACAGCAGATTCTGCACTCTGACAATGTCGCGGTTTCTAAAAAACATATGAGCTACAGTCTAA